CTCTTCAATTTTATGGTTATGAGTGGTAAAGTGCTTTGATTCCAAACTAAGGGGTCCTGGGTTCGAATCCTGTCAAAAACTGGGATTTTTAATTTCAGAATCTTTAGGACGCCTCTGAGTCCACCTACCTCTATTGGGGACCTGATATTAGTTGGGGAAAAGTAAAGGTTGTTGTGCTGGCCACATTTAAAAAAAATTTAAACTGATTATAGAATCACTTCAAGTATTTAATTTTAAAATGTGTTAGTACAATTTTTGTTTGCTGAGTGTAAAAGATTCTTGAAAAAAAACTGTGGCTTATTATAATTGTGATCTAATCCACTATTCTACAATCCAATCATAAACAATTATTTTTCACATTTCCCAATATCTTCTTTTTTGTTTTTTCAAGTATCTATAATTAATATGCGATTATGAAAGGAGTTAATTTTTTAAAGAGAATTAAAGAGTTAGAATTAAGAATTGTAATTTTATTTGCTCAGGGCACGATACAGCCACAGGTGGCAAAGATCCTTATCGTCCTTCTTTCTTAGACCACTTTGACAAACAGGATAGGGAAAAGTTGAAGACTACAGCAACTAGTAACAGCAACCCTCCAGCACAAGCGCCCAGCCAGCCCCAAGCCCCTCAGCAGCCACAGCCCCAACAACAGGCCCAGCCAAAGCAAATCACCCCGCCACATCATTTCCAGAGGTCCTTCATTGATGGAGACTTTGAATTTGTAAGTGTTGCAGAAAAGTGGCAAGCAAGATTCCCATAGAAATAATAATGATCTTTATTATTTAGGTATTAAAAACTAAACCCTATTATGAATAGACATTATACTCAAATGAAAAAGTAATAGTAATAACAATATAAATACTTCTAATAGTTGGCACTTCTGACACCAATGTTATGTATGGTTTCAGTTGAGGAGTTTGGCTTTTGAAGAAATAGAAAGTAGGCTCGCTGATTTAGACCCCGAGATGGAGAGGGAAATTGAGGAACTAAGAGCAAGGTACCAGGCCAAAAGACAGCCCATTTTAGAAGCCATTGACGCTAAGAAAAAGAGGCAACAGAATTTTTAAATTTAGGAACCTTAAATTGAGACTCTATTCTGAAGTTCCAGGACCTAAGTGTCTGTTGTGGAGACAAGCTGACGAAAATACTTAACCATGAACCTGTGCTTTGGCCAATTGAAATGATGAAGAGGCTGACTTTTTGGGCAGGACGTGCATTGTTTCCCCTGAAGTGATTTGACACTATTACTAACAATAGAACTCCTATTGCAGACTGATGTTTTACTAACATATTTATTTTATTTCTTTGGATTTGTTTGAATGGAGGGAAAAAATGATTCCTCCCATGTTGAATTCTGCCTGTGTTGCAAAGTCTTGACAACAGTGACTGCCCTTGTTAGTTTGATAGTGATGGAATGGTTGAGGGCTAAAGTACAATTTATTGCTTATGTAACATTAACACTGGTCCTGTGAATCCACTGCTGTTTAATACAGTGTTAGGGAATTGGAAGTTTGAAAAGGGTGGGATCTTACTTTTTCTTCTAGGTGGATAATAAGAAAATCAATTTTGAAAAAAAGTTTATTACGAGGGATGTAGAATAATTTACTCTTTTCAAAGAGAGAAATGTGTAGCTCTGTATTAAGTGGTTTTAAAACAGTAATTTGTCAGATCAGTAAATCATACTCTTTCGGTTTCAGTAGATTCAAGATTAGACCTGTGGTTCTCTGCATTTATACTGACAATTAATATTACTTGCACAAACTAAAAAGGTTGCCCTACAATACAGTGATAGAAATTCAGAGGTGAGAAAGGTGGTTTTGAACGACTGGCAGGTTGCAGCCTGCATGCTTTATTTGAACAAGTTAAGTCTGTTGGCCCCCTTTTGCTATAACCAACCTATTAGCCTATCAATATGGCAGGCGTTTCTCTCTCCCGATCTGTTGGCCCCCTTTTGCTATAACCAACCTATTAGCCTATCAATATGGCAGGCGTTTCTCTCTCCCGATCTGTTGGCCCCCTTTTGCTATAACCAACCTATTAGCCTATCAATATGGCAGGCGTTTCTCTCTCCTGATCTGTTGGCCTCTTGAACTTCGATGAAACTCTCATTAGTTGATAACATTATATGCTGTAATCAAGAATCTGTGAGTGTTTGCCTTTTACAGGCCTCCAGCACCTCATTGTCTGACTTGTGACAGAATGTGTGTGTGTGTGTGCTTTGCATTCAGTGTTTGGAAATCTGGAGAGATGTTTGAATGATCCTAATATTTTGGATGGACATTGTAATCTACTGGAAAAAATAGATTGAATGATCTAGTTAGTTCATTTGTTTTAATATTGTAATCTATTAACCTTTTCCAACATATATGATGTTCATTTCTAATGGTACTGCATTATAGTCTAGCAAATGTAGAATTGCAGTTAGTTCACAAGCATTTACAAAGTTTTTTCGCTTTTCTTTTATCAGTAGTATTTTTTTGTTTCTTTTATAAACTGTTGCTCTTTTTTTCTGGTTTTTGTTATGGCATAACAAAAATAACTTGTCATTGGCATAAAAAAACAACAGATTTTGTTAGTTTTTTTAGTTGTTTTTTTTTTTTTAAAGAATGTTTATTGATAAACTATTTGTGGTAAATTTAGCAAGTTTTGTTAAGTAATCGTCATGCCTAAAACTAATTGGAATTTTGGTTACAACAATCAAACAATCAAGTGATAAAAGTTAAGAGTACATAATTACCTCCATTGTACAAAACCATATTGAACAAGACTTTTTCGAGTAATTTTATTTTACTTTTGGTTTTAATTTGTCTTCTTTAAAGACATCTTTGTTTCAACACTTGACTCACACTCCTTCAATGACCTTCAGTCAAGTATGAAACAAACAAAATCTAAAATTAAAGTCAAACTGTAAGATAATTTTAGTACCGTCACTTCTGGATGCATCAGACAGTACAAGAAAAAAAAAGTTTTCGTTTCGAGCACACTTCTTGTACAGTCTCTTTTGAAAAAAAAACAACAATGCTTTATATATATTCATAATTTATCGATGCTGTTTGATTGGCTGATTAAATGCCAGATAAAAGTTGACTCTCATAGTGAAGTTTTCGCTGTCTTCAAATGATATGATTTTTTTCAGCATTTGAACACAAATTTAAATAATTGAATTTTTTGTTCTTGTCTGCTTATTTAAAAAGGAAGTCTTGAAAACTCAAGTTAAAACATTTCCATCACTTGTATAGCATAAGAGACTTGCCTCATTATAGATTTCTTAAAACATTGTCATAGAATATTTGTATCTTTGAATGCTCTTGCTTTTAATCATAACAGCTTAAAAATGACTATCTTGACAAAAAATAAATTATCTTTATCCATTTTAGCAATGTGACATGTAAATCTTTTACAGACCATAAAAAAACTGGTTGCTGTCTTGCAGCCTTTCATGTCTGCCGTTCTCATCTTCCCTTTGACCTCCATTGTTGTTGCTTAAAGCTCTCCACACTTCATCGCTACTGTGGACCACAGGCCCCTTTCTATTCCAAGAACAGTATTACGACAGTGTTAATAGCTCAAATATTTGTTCACACTGGCCCTCATATATTTGTGCAAACAAAAAAAAAAGAAGCATTTATTTTTATAGCCCCGGAGCAGAAAATAATTCTGAATGAGCAGCAAATGTATACAAATATTGTAAGGTCATTTTCTATCAGCACTCACATATCACTAGCTGATGTCGCCTGTCGTTTACTTATGTTGTATATCTATTCATTCTTGAGTGAGTAAATGTTTTATAGTTTTATTTGAATTGGCACTGAAGTTTGTTAGAAAAGATGACTTTATAAAACATCATTTTTAACTCTTTCTCTCCTAACATGATTCCATTGCTGATATTACCTCATGAAATTAAATAATTTTTTTGTTTTATAAACTATAATTATTGTTATTTAAAAAAGTGCATACATTTTTTTTTACAATTATATACCTAAAGTAACATTTCCTGATTACATACAAAAAGTTTTGGAAGTTTAATCATAACAGGGTAGTGAAACACTAATGAGCAAAATGAATAATACCATCGAATAATTCCAACGTAGAATATAATTACGGAGAGAAAGAGTTAAGTAAACATGTACAAATTACAAAATCTTAAATTAAAATGAAATGCTAAAGTTTACTTATAGTACATTGGAACAATTTCTTTTCTCGGTTGCATGATTGTGTTACCTTTGACAAGTAGAATGGTAGTGACTGCCTTGTGAATCCATTCTGATGTGACCATAATCCAAGAGTATACATTTTTTTAAAGATAATTTATTTGTATGTCCCTCACCCGAAGGGAGACAACTTTGACTAGCATAAACATTCTTGACTTGTTTTGTTGAAGAACTCAGCAAGAAATGGCAATTGGGGTTTCTGTTTGATTGAACCCTTCTGGCTGAACCCTTTGTAGATTAATTTTTGTTTTTATTGGAACCAATCTGGATGAACCCTGTGTAGTTTAATTTTTTTTTACCTACCCACAACCCTGTGTTAATATATGATGGCTGCATGGATGTGTCTTGATGGCCCTGGTTCTAACTCTGTCTGCTGCCATCCATGTAGGAGATTAGGGTGTAGTAATCTTCCATTCTGAAGGAACATCAGGAGATTAGGGTGTAGTAATCTTCCATTCTGAAGGAACATCCTAACATAGAAAAAAGATCAAAAGATGTGTTTGGTTCCTCAGTTTTGTTTTTAGATTAATGTGTTTTGTTATATATGTATACAATAATCTTAACATTGAATTGCTATCTAGTTGGACTATAAGTGTATCCCCTCATAGGATTCTCGAATGTAAGAAAGACATTTAAATTTATCGTTTTAAACTTATTCTATTGTACACAATTTTTTCAAATTCTATATTAAAAAAAAAAAATAAATATATATATGCTGGGATTTTGAGACACAATCAGTAGTGTTTTTTCTCAATGGTATTTGAGGATGGCTAATGTCAACAAGCTCACCCCCCCCCCCCCATGTGACTTTTTGCATTTAAATCATATTATTGTTTTTCTGATATTGTAACTATTTCAATTTATTCAGCCTAAGAATAGGCTGAGCCTATAGGAGCAGGTCTCGGCTCTGTTCCAGCAGTTTTAATTGAACTTGAATACCTGATATTTGTTGGACTGAGCTACAGTGATCAGCCGTTCCATTAGACACACAATTTTTCGACCAAGCAAAAGACTGCTTTTTGTTTCCTATGGCCGTAAATCTCAAGATTCATTGAAATTTCAATAACAAAGCTTCCCCCCCCCCCCCCCCCCCCCCCCCCAAAAAAAAGTGATGATTATGACTTTGTATTTCCTTTGATCTTGTACCAAGACCTAGGAAGTTGTTTTTCTGTCTGTCTCTGTGAACACCAAGGACTTTGTTGCAAGGTATGAGCTTCAACAGATTTGTTTAGAGTTCAAGAAATAAGATCCTCCACTTTTGTTTTAGTCCTGCACAGGCTCCGTGTTGACAATTATCTCATTGTTCAAATAGGGAAACTTTGTTTTCTTAACTGACCATTTCATTGACACGTCCCCTTTCCTCTCTGCTTGCTTTAATTTCGTAGAAAATCTGTAGTGGTAATTTCTCTGTTCTGATAGGAAGAAAGAAAAAAAAACTTTATGAATTGGCTGAAATGTCAAAGTTTAGGTGAAAATTGTTTTGGGCAAAATATTTGATTTTTGTTTTCACAAAAAAAAAAATTTCAGTTGGGAGGCACTGCCCATGACCACCTGATGGTTGAGTGAGAGTTGTGTTGTTTTTATATGAGAAAAAGAGTCCTTGTAATCACAACAAATTAAGGATCAATAAAGCAGTCTTAGTTTTAGTCTTAGATTTGAGAATTCCCACAACTCTTTCAGAATAGAGAGGTCAAAGAATGACATGGGCAAGTAGAAGTCTTCTGCTGTTTTCAATTTATAAGTACTTCAGGAGCTAAAAATATCTTCTGCCAATCTTATTACTTTCTTTAATAGTAAAAGTAACACATCATAACATTTCAGCACTCACAACCATTCTTGTAAATAAAGGTAATTGTGTCTGATACCTGGTGCATACAAGTAGCGATCATCCAACTTGTTTCCAACTTAACATTGTTAAATTCTGTTGTTATATTGTCCTAGCAACAATTGTCTAAGTGCACACCTACTCCAAATGCGTTTCATTTATTTGTAAAAAAAATTCATGCCGTGCCTTGATCTTTTTATTTCACATTCGTCCTTGACCCCATTCCTCACTTTACATAATCCTTTTTTTTATTTTTCTTTTCCCGTTTGCTGTTCAAATTGGTCAGAGCCATTTTTTTTTTACAACAAAGCACAAAAGCTGATTGTTTAGAACTCTGTGTTAACTTTTAATCTTGACTTGAAAAAAAAACATTAATTTCTTTAGTACTGTAACGAAAGACTTGTATGGATATGTGCAGGATCTCTTTTTCTTTAAAGGAATGTAATTCATAATTCTTTAAGGTTCCACTAGAGTAAATTTGTTTTTATTCAGTGTAACATTTCTCATGTAGTAACAATTGTAGCAACAAGTGTATCTGAAATACATTTTTTTAGTGTCCTATTTCAGTCGATCCTATATTCTAATAGGTCAGATAAATATCTTAAATTCATAAATAATAATATAAATATTTATTATGCTTGTGCAACATTAAAATAAAAAAAATTTCTGCTGGGGTTTGGGAGAGTGTTGAACCTTCTTCTGGTTCTGATTTGTAGACATGACAATGTTGAATAGCTATATTGCTCTGGTGTTTGATTAGTTTATTGACATCAGGACTTAAATCTAAAAAAAAATAAATAATTTTCGTGTGGAACTAAACAGAATAGCGTTTTTTGATCTGGAGAGATTCTGAGTATCCAACCTTCCAATATTAATTAATAATAACACTGAAATGTATTGAAATTACATTGTAAAAAATTTTTGTTTTCTTTAGCTTTAGAAATAACATTCAATCAATGTATCTTTTTTTTTTTGCCTTTTGTTCTAACAATTAAAAACTTGTTTAAAACCCAATGTCACAATGTATATGTATCAGCTATTTCTAATTGGCTTCATTTGTTCATATGATGCCAGCTTTAATAATGTTTACATTGATAACTTTTTTTTTTCTTATTTATTAAACTATGTACATTCTTTATGCATTATATAGTTAAGTTTTGTTCTGGTTCTTGTTTTGGGTTTTATTTAGTTGAAAGAAGATAATGTTCTAGCCACCATTCATCTGTCATTGTCTAATTGTATATAAAGATGATTATACCAGAAATAAACCTTAGAAATACATTGAAATATAAAATATTTGTTAGTCTTATCTCATTAGAACATTCAATACTATCATTTGTCCCTTGACTTTTGTCATGACCGATTACTGAACCAAATCTCAATTCTTTGTAAAGCTTCTTTCCAAGTATCCTCCAAGTCAATTTTTATACCAAAAAAAAAATATTCTGAGAACTGCCTGATCTGGAAACCACTGTGCGGTTCGTCTCAGATGTAGGATTACTGATCTGAACTCTCCAACATGTTAAATAAGAACGAAGAAAAATTGTACATAGATTTGACAAATATGAAAGATTTTCCCAGTGTAGGTATGTGCCAGATAGATAACATTGTGATAGCCGAGTGCCACTTATAGCACGGCATTTATGGATCAGGAAACTGAAACCCACTACTTACAGCATCAACTTAAGAATTAAAACTTCAATTATATACTCCCAAATATCTGGAATAGTTATATTGTTTTCTATGTATCAGACAAGATAATTTCATTTTAAATTATTTTATGTAATAAGTAACAGAATAGGGATTTGATTTATAATAATAATAATAATAATTTTATTTATAAAGCGCTGTTAACAAACAAAATGTAGGCTCAAGGCGCTGTAACAACATTACAAACACAATGTAATGGATAGTTTCAAGTCAGTTGGCTTTACAAAACCCATTTAAATTTACATTTAAATTAAGAACCATCTAGTTTTATATCTTTGGAATTGCTTTTATATACAGCATGCTCAGTGTCCAGTGGTCCAATCTCTGTTGTGTGTGTGTGTGTGGGGGGGGGGGGGGTATAGACACTAAAACAACATGAGCTTCAATAAACACAATGATTTTAATAGTCTCTATTTATGTTCTTTACTCCAGCCACTTGTTCTCTAAACTGACCTCCTTTTACACATAGTCCTGAAACACTGCTGTTCACTCAACCATGTACACTCAAGGTCCACTGGTCATTTCATACACAGGCACACACACTGCACTACCAGCCACGCAAAACACATACACTTACTTTCACAGGGGGAGATTTCCAAGTTGCTTATATGCACTCAGCTCAAGCCAAATCTTAATTTAAAATTCTTTTATTATCGATAACATTTTTTTTTTAAATACAACAGTTTTACAAAAAAGCTAAAGAGTCAGAATGTTTTCATGTGAAGGACTTGCACAGTGCTACCATGTGATCTAAACCACATGCCATCTTGACTGCTTGTGCTGGCAGAGAGATCTACAAAAAAAAAGAACAAGTTTAACTGCAATGTATAGCAACATTATTCCTCTCTCTTTCAATGAACAACAAAGACTACAATGTCTTCAGACTTATTACAAAGCTTTTATTCACTAACTTTTACACCTTTTTTCCTCCCATTTCCCATTCTCGGAGCAAGTTGAAATTTTGTACAATCATTCATTGACGATGACAACAGATAAATCAATGGAAAAAACATTAACAATTTAGTTTATCAAATGGTTGTATAATTTCGTTTTAAACAGAAAAGGGTGACACAAAATATTTATATAGAACTATCACACAGAATATTTATACAAAAACTATGACACAGAATGTTTATACAGAAACTATGATGAATGTTTATACAGAACTATGACAGAATATTTATACAGAAACTATGATAAAGAATGTTTATACAGAACTATGACAGAATATGTACACAGAACTATGACACAGAATATTTATACAGAAACTATGACACAGAATATGTTAACAGAAACTATGACACAGAATATGTAAACAGAACTATGACACAGAATATTTATACAGAACTATGATACAGAATATTTATACAGAACTATGACACAGAATATTTATACAGAAACTATGACACAGAAGACAAAAAAGGGATATTTTGTGAAAGCAACCCATGTCCTGAATCAATGTGAGACAAGATACTGAGGCTACAATAGTTGTGATCGATTCTTTTTATCTAACTAACACAGTATGATGTATAGTACACTGTAACAAACATAGACATTATATAAACCTACCCGTAAAGGAAAAAATTGGTTCTTATTTTTCCCCAAGACCCAGCACTCCATTGTTGTTTCTTCCCCATGTGTAAATATCACCTTTTTATCTGTCAGATATACAATATCATAAATTATACATGTCAAGGACTACACAGCATCATCAAATTGTTTACACTTTTTGTTTGATGTTTGTTTTGATTTTAGGCACATCGGCACAATTTAGGCCAAGTCGTGGCGTTTACACTTTTTTATTCCAGTAAATTGCCTTAACCATAGCCCAGTAAAGTCTAGAAAGTTTTTTTAGGTAGTGTACATATATATATATATATATATAAAGGGGAGAAATTATAAATTGGGAAAAATTCACAATTTTTAAAAAGTTTACCTTTTCAGACCTTACATCATCCTATAGGGCAGATGATGTAAAAGGTCATCTGTTTTTGTGGCCCATAGTTAACGAGAGTGTCATGTAGCCAGCACAACAACCAACCGCCGTTTACTTTTCCCCAACTAATATCAGGTACCCATTAGAGCTGGGTGGACTCAAAGGCGCTCTAAAGATTCCAAAATTAAAGTTTTAAGCTTGAATCTATTTCTGTAGATTTGTTATTCAAATTAATTATAAAGTGTATTCTTACTTAAAATATTGGGAGCGCTTCTTTATTTTGTGCTATTGAATTTGTAATACTGAAGGATTCAATTTCTTAAATTGTAAATAAAATAAATGAGAAATGGACGAGCTCTCATCCAAATCACAAGAAAGATGATGCTTACTATAAGCTATCCCGACAAGACCAACGTCTAATCTTTCGACTCAGAGCCGGACACAACAGAATGCGACAACACATGTACCGGAAGCTCAAAATTGGAACCAGTGAAATCTGCCCATGTGGAATATCACCAGAGAATGTTGACCATGTCCTCCAAAACTGCTCTCTTTACCAAAAGCCCTGTATAAGACACCGGCCCCAAATCACCCCAATAGAAAGGAAACTATATGGAGAGCT